CCTGGTGACCCACAGGACTCTGGCAACCATCTAGAACCTTCTGGCCCACCGGTCACATGCCAACCAAGAAGAGACACTGGACGTCTGACAACCAAGATGCAACCCGACTAAACACTTCTCTCGATACATGGGAGGGGTACGTTGCAGTCTTTCTTTCGGTCGTACAATCTTGTACGCATAGATACTTCTCAATGCCAATCGATGGCCAAGATCTCACATATTAATTCTATCTACCTCTACCCCGTACACATGTCATTTAAGATGCAATGCACGACGCCTCGCACGAGGAACCGCGTGTGTTCAGCCATTTCAGCAGGCTAATCGACCGCTTCAGGGCCCTCGTATGTATGCGGAATCAGAAAACGCTTCGCCCATCAAGATTGGGGCTTCTCACCTCGTGGGCGGGGGTGCGGCGTGCCTCTCCAGGCTTTCAAAACATAATATGCGACGTCTTCAAACATGAATAAATAGTTGCATATATTGTCCCGAAATTCACCAATGTAATCAGGGTCTTCTCATCGTCTTCCCAGGAGATCCCAAGTCAAAGAGAGGCGGCGTGCCATGCGCCTTTTTTCGTGATAAAACTGAGAAATATTTCCAAAATATAAACAGTGATAGAAGGATCTTTACGCACTTGGTATACCAAGCTTTTTCACACAGCTTAAGTCGTGATGAATCTGCCTCGAGAAGCCAGGGGTAGGTATATGAGTGAAGTTATTGCGTGCGATGGTCAAGAATGAGAGGAAGTACCTCTGAAGTACAGGTACAAATGATTTCGTTAATGAAATACTTTCACGTCCAAATCGGGTTAAGCTTTAAGGCAGGCTCTCAAATCCTTGAGGCCTATTCTCATACGCGCAAAGCAGTCCTTCACGTCGCGAGGAGCTCTTCCACTTGACCTGTCGAGGGATGCGTCATCCAAAGGAGCCTCAATTACGGGGTAATACATATACATAGTGCACTGTCACTCCTGCACAGACGGCGCTGTACAGACCGTCACTCCCTTCGGAAAACGTCACGAAACTCTGCGATCTATCGCTACACCATTGAATCATTGATGTATAATCGCAACACCGAAAATAAAGGCACGAACCGACTGCATAGTTGGGCACCTGATGGGCTATGTATCTACGCACAGAAACACAACGTAGGGCATGGAAAGCAACACACAGAGACACAATATTGACCCGAAACCTTCCTTCTGTGCCTAAGAATGATTGGCTATCAAACTTGCGGGTCTCATGCACTTGCATTGAATAGCAGTATCTGCTTTTGCTGCCCTGGAAATATCACGATCCTAAACGGGCATTTGATAACTACTTCAACGAACGCCCGTAGGCACCAAGCGTTTTCGAGCGCCGTGATCTCAACCAATTTTGATATACGCTGCGGTGAGCTGTCCATCAATCATGCGATAATTCTCGAGGCGGTCTTGACAAAGGCCATTCCATTCCGTAGTACACATTGCTGTGGGAAATCAAGAAGCTCGCCAAGGGTGGCAAACTGCACAGAGGGAGGCAGGCAAATCTTCGACTTGACCTCCATCATACGGAGTACATACCCATCAAACTCGTCAAGGGCTGCGTCGTGGGGAACAATGATGAGAGTATTCGCGGGAAGCTCAGAACAGGGATCAAAAAATCATGATAAAGAAGTTGAAGTGAGAGGGGTCTGTTTGATGGGAGTTCAATAGTTACTGATAAAACGGCGGTAAGGTGATGTTGATTGATAAGAACTTCTGCGAGAGGCCCGAGGGTAACACTTCAGGTCGGGGTTGCAGTCAATCACATCGCAGCATGATGAGGGGTACATAGGTCCTCCTGCATAATTGGCGTAGTGCTAGAAGTACCGGCAATTTTCAAGTGACAAAAGTTTTCGAGCACTTCACATGTTGTTACTCGAAGTCACGACCGTCGAGCAGGGGGCGAAAAGCGCTTTGCTAGAACTGTCGGTCCTTGCTCCGCTTTCAGCCAACCACCAGATCACCCCGCAGTTCTGTTATTTGTCATTGCTCCCTCACATTTTCCTTGTGAGATGTTGTTTGCTACGGCTGAGCCAGGGCACTGCCAACTGCCACTGGACCAAAAGGACTAGAATCCGAAGTCGGCAGCTTCGGATCTAATTGGCAGTCATATGAGGCACGACCGCTCTGGTAGCGGCCGTGACATTGTTGCTACTTGTTGAGACACCTTTTGTGATCGAGGGACGCTTTTTGTGGAGTTGTCGTGTCAGTCTGGATTTGCATGTTTCCCTTGCTGTTCTTTAGTTACATTCCGTTCTGTTGGTTTCCTAGGCATCTGGAGAGATCGCATGAGACATCCGAAGTTCAACACAAGGGAGATCAGTTTGGGCATTTGGTTAAAAGGGTTGAGGGAGGCCCACTGAGGATAGGAAAGGAGAGGGGAGAGAAGTAGTTGGTGTGAGGAACGCATAACCACCCGTTCCGCCCAAAAGGTCAAGTGACCAAGTTGCACGTCTGCAGCTTGATCGAGGTGATATAGTGCATTGTCACAGCAGCACAGACGGCACTGTACAGACCGTGACGTGGGGCGTGGCAGGGCAACTCGGCGGCAAAAAGTCTTGACCGAGACAGGGGTCGAACCTGCGACCTTCTGATCACCCGCGAGAGCATCGTAGTCAGACGCTCTGCCATTGAGCCACACGGCCTATGTACAACGTTCGAATCCTTCATTTGAATTTATAGCCGATGGAAGCACCCTTGTCCTCATAGGCAAGCACTCCTGATTGTCACGGTCTGTACAGTGCCGTCTGTGCTGCTGTGACAATGCACTATATCACCTCGATCAAGCTGCAGACGTGCAACTTGGTCACTTGACCTTTCGGGCGGAACGGGTGGTTATGCGTTCCTCACAAGTCCATAACAGTTATCGGCGTAAGTCACGTCAAGAGATTACTGTGATGGATTAGTCTATGACTAATCGTGGATAGATAAGCGGCAAGCCTGGGATAATTACATGAGACTCCCCCACTGGGCGTGGAGGTACTTAAACAGCTAGGAGGGCATTCTTGTCCTTTCTCTTTCTTTCCTTCGATAGTTTTATTGATAACTACTTCCTCTCGCGCATACATCCACTATCCGTGACGAGTCCATAACAATTACTCTCAATAGATGAACTATTGCTTAGATTGATCAGTAGAGATCTGAACTCTAGACTACGAGGGAAACCCTTGTGTTGGAATCGCAGGACAGCAATGTACAGCGCACTGCACGTTGATTGGTGTGCGTGCCTCGTCTATGGGGACATATGTCCACACAGCGAGCACAACACCACAAAGCTGGCCTCCGCCCCTTTTTGTAGATAGACAATAACAACGAAGACAATCAC